TTTTGGTTTCGGCTGCTCGAGATTTGGAACGGGCCTCCAACTTGTGGGCCTCGGCGGCTAGCCCTGCACATGTGCATCTGCGGACTGTCCAACAGCTTGGGTGGAGCGCCCCCTCGGCCGACCGCGTCATCATTGACACTGGGGAAGAAATCTGTCTCACCAAGCTTGCTCCCGCGCAGGTTGTTTGGATGGCCCACCGAGCTGCTCGTAATGATTCTGATGTGGCTGCGCTTAGCAATATGGGAGAGTCGCCAGGCTGGACCCGCCCGATGCACTGGAAGCCTTTGGCTGGGCTCTTGGGGGGGCGTCTGTCGGGAACCTGGACGGCTAGGCACCAGTCTAGTTTGCGCTCTTTGATATCTCAGCAACACTGGTGCCAAGCCAAACAAGCGCGCCACGAGAAATCGGACACTGACCTTTGCCAGGCTTGTAAGTGCAAGCCTGGTACCCTCTGGCACAGACGTTTCCTTTGCCCACATTGGGCCGCCGACCGAGGTAAGCACTGTAGCCCGCGACTGCTCCGCTGCGCGTCTGTGTTGCAGCTGTCGGTGCAGGATCTCGAGAAGGCGGCTTGTGGTATTTTCCCTATGCCCATAGACGTTGTACGTCGGCCACTGTGGGATAGCGAGTGCAATATTGTTTGGATAAAACGGCCTGACTCAGGACACCTGTCAGGCCATGTGTCCACTGACGGTTCTGGCCTTCGCCCCACCTGCTCCCTCTCCCGCAGAGCGGGCTGGGCTTTAACCCAGCTCAACGATGACGGCTCTCTGTCAGCAACAGTCTGTGGCGCGGTGTCTTGGGATCTAGGACCCTTTCAGACTGCGCGCGATGGGGGGGGGATGTTGCTGTCTTGCAGGGAGCTCGTGGATTGGTCGTAGGAGAAACGGTTTTCCACATTGACTGCCAGGGCACCATAGATGCTGTTAATGACAAGATCTTGTCCACCTCTGTTCGGCATTCTCGATGCCATTTGTGGGAAGAAATCCACAGGAAGCTGCCGTCCATTAGTGCTGTGAAGGTCAAAGCCCACCTTCCCTTCTCAGCTGTTGCCGAGGGGCGCATCTCTGAGTATGAGTGGAATGGTAATCGTGCTGCTGATGTGTATGCGGGGCGTGGAGTTAGCCAGCATCCTGACACTTCTGATTGTATGCATGCCCTTGCTGCCCTGGCAGATATTGTCAAAGAATTTGCACGCTGGGCTGCTATCCAAGAGGTTTTGATAGCCGAGCGCGAAGACTACGACGCCCTCCCCCTCTCTCCTCGGTCGACCTCTGGGGAGGCGGGTGGGCCCCCCCTCTCTAGCAGTCCTCCAGGGAATTCGACTAAGCGTTACAAAGGCAGGCCCATTGTCGCCCCTGAAGCATCAGAAGAGCTAAGCATCCTTGCAGCATTGCAGGGACATGCGCTTAGGCAAGCTGAGGTTTTTGTTACCTCTGGGCTGCCGCCCGCTCCGCCTAAGAGCCCCACGGTTCTTGTTTGCGCCGCCTGTGGTGGGTATGCCTGGGAGGCCGTTCTGAGCCTTGCCAAACCATGCAACGTGCCGCCACCCTCCGAGACTCTGCGCAAACAGCGCAACCGTGCCACTAAATTACGATTTCCCTGCGGGTCTCGCCAATACAGTGGTTGGACTGTGGGGGCTTGGAGGGCCCCAACTCCGCAGGCGATCGCAGCGATGCTTGCTCCCAAAGCCGCGGTGCTATGCTGGCGTAAGCCCACGGCTGATTTTTCAGTCCCTAATGTGGCGGTGCGGGGGGAGTGGTGGGAAAAGGAACACGTTGCTGCTTCCTTCGGTCTCTCTGTTGAGGGTTTTGACTCAGCAGTTACAGATAAAGCCGAAGAAGCAAAACAACTAGCCCTCAAGAGGCACCTTGAGGAAGACCAGCCAAATAGGGTTGTGTAATTCTCTTTTTTTGCCCTCTGCACCTTCAGAGGTAGACTTGCTGCAGCAATGTTATTCTTATTGTGACTCGTGGATTGCCTCTGGTGCCTCGGGATGTGCGATGATGATGGTGACGAGGACTCTGGCAGCCATCAGGTGGTCCTCTTGAGGCTCTCTTGGGTTCCTCTTTGGGCTTTCTCGCTGCCCTACTGGGGTCCTCTTAGGGCTCTCTCGGGGCCCTCTTTGGGCTCTTGTGGGGACTCTTGGGGCCCTCTTGGGGCTCTATTGAGGCACTCACTCTTGGGAGCCCTGGTGGAGGGCGTCCTGGGGCCATCGGTCAAAATGGGGAGGCCCTGATGTGCCTCCCCACTCTGGGATCCTCTTGGGGCGCTCTTTGGGCCGTATGGGGAGTTCTGTGGCCCCTTCTTGGGCCTCTCTTGGGCCATCTGGGGGTTCTCGTGAAGCATTAAAGACGCTTCGCAAGCGAAAAGGCGAGCAGGCAAGCATCATGTGTTTTCCTATGTGTTTGAAGGATGTTGGTCTCTTGAGGGGATCCCGAGGGACTTTGAGAGTACTTGGAACCGTCTTGTGGACCTTGTCGGGCCTCTTGGATGTTCGTCTGCAGCTATATTGAACCATGTTCGGCTTGGGGGCCATCTTGGAGCATCGGAGGCTCTCTTGGAGCCATCTTGGGCTGTCTTGGGCGCCCTGACAGCTCGCGCTCCCTCCACCCCCCATAACAGCCACAAGCACCTCAGGGAGGGGAGTGGGAGGGTACCCCTCGCAGCACGACATGTGTTTAAACGGTGTGGTGTCGACACCGCGTGGTGAGTTAGAGGGGATTCGGAATGACCGACTGGTTCTGGGACTCGGATCGTGCTCCGAGGACGTCTGGGCGACCGGGGCATCCGGGGTCCCAAAACGGCGCGGCGGCGGGCCGTGCGGTGGGGTCGCTGTGGGTTCCGAGGTCTGGAACGGTCTGCCGCCGCACCAAATCTGGGACCCCAGCAGCAGCATAGCGAGTGGGAGCGTGAGAGGGAGGGACAGCGTGGAATGAGGGTGGACGATCGTTTCGCTCCTCTGTGTTGTGCTGCTGCACTGTGAGGGGAGGTGGAGGGCCTGAAGAGGAGGTTAGGGCAGCCGAGGTCGACCCAGAGCTCCTGCCAGGGCGCTGGCGAGAGCGGGTCGGGGAGAGGGCGGCCAGGCCATCCTCCGCTGTCCGAGTTTCCGTACTCAAGCCATTTTGGCTCAAGTGGCCATTTCGGGCCAAGAGGCTATCGTCGCTCGTTTGCCGAGCACCCCAGACCTGCGCAAACGAACCGGTCGGAACAGTAGACGAATGGTGGAACGCATATTGTTCCCCGTTGTTCCATTGTGGTTGCTCTTCATTGCTGTTGTTGTTTCGTTCGCATGCTCGTCGCGTGATGGTTCCATTCGCGCGTATATATTCGCAGATAGTATCAGGGTCTCGCGGACCATTGCGCACCCGTTTTCATCGATGCAGAGCGAAGGAGTCCCAGGTGCTGGGTGCACAGGCCCCAGGGAGAGTGCATTGCATGGCGCGAGCCAGTATAACAGCTCAGGGTGCACTGAAGTGATTCCGCATGGTCGCAAGGTGCTTTTGTATGGCGCTATGGGTCGGCACAATTTCGGTGATATGCTGATGCCGTGGATCGTTGAAACGATGCTGCAAAGACGCTACGGTTTCTGTCCCGACGATTTCTTGCATGCTGACGTTGCAGGCGCCGATCTGCGGGCGTATGGCGGTCATCTTGTCATCGGCGTTGGCTCTTTGTTCTCCAACATGTACAATGGCTCTCTCGATGTGATCTTTTGTGGGGGGGAAACTCTCCAGGACATCTCGCTCAACATTGCGATGGGCATGTTCGGACGTGGTTTCAAAGCTTGCAATGCGGACGACTTCATGCACAGAGGCCACAGTCTGGCCTACTTGCTTCCCAAGGACAAGTTTGCCAAACCTGGCTTGTTCATCGCCAACACAGTTGGAGGTCCAGGCACCTCAAGAATCAATCAGAGCTGGTTTGACCATTGCACGCTCCGCCAAAATCTTCATCGGGCTGGCTACGAAGACTGCCTGGCGGCCCCAGACAGCGTGATCATGATCAACATTTTGTTTGGCGAATCCATATCTCTTCGCACAAACGGCCTACCAATGGGGAGATATTTCGCTTGGCAGTTCAACTCGAGAGTTCACTTTGACGATGGATTCGTTGATGCTATTTTGGCAGCGGCGAGAACGAACAACTTCAGCATCGTCATGTTCCGAGCAGGCGCTGCGCCTGGCCACGATGGTCTGAAGCCGTATGAGGCTATGAAGTCCAGGCTTGAAAAAACAGACTCTTCAATTGCTGTGACCGTATTCGACGGGCTCAACATTTGGGACATAAGTGCTTTAATATCCAGGGCAACGCTTTTGATTTCCACAAGTTTGCACTGCCGTATCATCGCTTTCTCCTTCTATGTGCCTCGCGTGACAGTTGTTTTGGGGCCCAACGGTACACAAGTCGGGGGGAACAAGCACTTCGCATTCATGAGGGACTGGGACGGGGACTGGGATTACAGTAACGATGCTGCGGATGCGCGAATTGGCCTTTCAATCCAAGAAGCTCTCCGGCCTTCGAGTAAGGTTGTCTTCGACAACAACACGCGACGGGGCGTCGGCATATACGAGAATGTATTCAAGACGTGGGCTGACAGTCTCCACAAGCATTGGAAATCGCATGGCAGGAGTGGACGCCAGTGAGAACAATACGGACCGAGATGTTCATGGTTTGTAATGCGCATTCTTGCCATCTGTCTCACCACCATACATACGTAATTTGGAGAGACTTCTATTATTAGTGGGGAAAAAACAGCCTCCGCTGTCCGAGTTCGTTGACGCCCGCAGGAGTTATCAAGCAGGAGACCTCCCCAACCATCGGGCCCTCAACTCTCTGAAATTTGCGAGGGCGCGTTGATCAGTTAATTAGTGTCCCTGTTCTTGCATAAATGCTGTGTATTCGATAGTCTGTGAGCAGTTCTAGGTGGATTCGGACATCGCGGAGTGTGCCCCAAATTCAACGAGATGTCAAACAGTGATTGTTCATATTGTGTCGGTCGGATTTTGTTTGAGTTTCCAGACTGGTGTTCCCTCTGTAGCTTTGTCCTCGGTACAAGTTGTTCCACAATTTTGGCTTTGCCTTAGGGGTATTCATTTGTTTGTTCAGAACCTGGTGGATGCTGGTCCTGGTCGTCGCCTGGTTCCCCAGGGTTCTTCGGTGTTGTTGTGTAACGAGGGGGGACCCTGGGATTCGTCGGTTCGGGTTCCCTGCAAGGCGTTGCCCGGGTTTTTTGGACTTGGTTTCTTGGGCGTTCCCCAGGGTTCTGGGGCTTTGTTTCCTCACAGGGCCTTGCTTGGGTCCTTTAGTCATGGTTCTTCGGTTCGTTGTTGTTTTTTTATCTGGTTCCTTGGCCTTGTTACTTCGATTCCTTGGGCTTGGTTTCGTGGTTTCCCTGGTCGTCCTTGGTCTTGGTTCCTTGTTGCCTCGCTACGCAGTGCTCAACAGTGCCATGCAACTCAACGCACAGCTGGATGTTCACAATCATGCAAAGCAAGATGTCAAGCAATTCGGCAAGCAACGTCAAGCAATGTCACGCAACTCGTCCGTGCAATAGGAAGTGTTCTCCACCAATCGGGCTCGCGCCGGGTTCATCAAAATGGTGTCTCCGCTGCAGCGTTGGCCTCAATTCAAAATCGCCGCTTTGCTTCCGTCCTCTCGCCGCGACGCGGGCCACATTTCTGGATCGGAGTGCCTCCTCGTTGTCGCCGCCTCTTTTCCCCTCCCCCGCCTTCCCCTGGTCCTCCCGCTCATCCTACGTCTGCTCCTGGTCCTCCCCCGCCATCCCCTGGTCCTCCCGCTCAAAATCCACCAGTGGACCTACCGCCTCGTCTACTGGGTCTTCGACCTGGGCGTCAGAGCGCTATACGTCGCCACCAGCCTGCCCTTCCCCTGGGGCACCCTCTCCACAGGAGGCGAGGGCAACAGCGCATGGGGGAGGCGGGTTGGCAGGTTTGCCAGATTCGCGCATGACTGCAGCTGGGCCTCGAACCTTCGCGCCTGCGCCCTGCTTGGAACGACAGGCCAGAGCATGGGCCCAGCGATGGGTCAACAACCCGCATCAAGGACTGCAGCCAGATGATGAGGCAGAATTTCATGATGTGTGCGAGGCGTTTTTGGCGCAAGAGCTTGCCCATCCGAGGTTTGCGCATGCCTTGCGCGCACGTATGCAGACGCCTTGGCAACTGGCGCATGAGATATGTGTTCGTGCTTGGCATAAAGGTGTGCGTAGTCGTCAGAGTTTCCTTCGATGGTTTCGCAAGTTAACTAGCAAACAGCAGTATGCGGCTGCTGGTATGCACAACTATGAATGGAAATCCTTTAGGAGCTGGTTCGCAAGCCACCACCGTCAGGGGCCAGCGCCACCTTTTGGCCCACTACCTGGACAATCACGCCGCGCTCCACGCCGACCAGCAGCAGCACCTACTGCGTCCTCCAGTTCGGCTGGTACTTTAGCTGCGACGGCTTCGGGTGCACTGACTGGGTCTGCTGGTTCGCCTTCATCGACGGGTGCGACTACTGCTCCTACGACGGCATCGTCTACGTTGGCTTCCTCTGCGGGCACGTTGAACCCTGCTAGCTCGGCTGCAGGCCCCTTGCCACGGCCGGCGTGGCACCAGGCTGCTCCGCCAGGTGCTAATGCTGCTCCCGACCCGTCGCCTCATCCTGCAGGCAGGAGTGTTGGGAGAGGCCAGCGTCCCAAGGCCCACAAAAGCAAAGACAAAGTTTGGCTATTTTTCACGACCAACCCTAACAACTGGAACGGGTTCCAGGACGTCTGGGAATGGATGCATATCATGGGGGAGGTTCCTGACTTCGTTGCTGTCCAGGGGACGCGTCTATTGGCAGGAGACCCTGTTTCTTCGGCGACTTCTTGGGCAGGTTTTCGAGGCCTCAACTCCCATCGTGATCCTGCTGTTCTCACAGGAGACCACCAACTAGCAAATTCGGCAGGTGTTGCTGTCGCTGTCCGACGTCATATTGCGAGCAGACACCTTTCGTATGAGCAGCTCGGGGTGGGGCCTGTCGGACGTGGGAGGATTGTCGTCACCCACGCCCAAGCTGTCGTACCTGGGGGAATGCACTGGGTCTCTATGTATGGCTATACTGGAATTGGGTGCACTGGCCTAAACATCCAGCTCTTGGAGGACCTTGGGAAGTTCCTGGAACAGCTTAAGACCCCTTGGGCCCATGGAGGCGACCTCAACATTGATGCCTCGGACCCTGGGCTGCTCGGCTGGCGTGCGCTTGTAGGTGGCACAATCATTGCGCCCAAGGCCCCGACCTGCCACAAGCAGACCTTGGACTATTTCATTGTGTCCAGAGGTGCGGCAGCTGCTATCACCTCGGTCTCCGCCCTGTTCGCTGGACCTTCGTCACCTCACGTTCCCGTCTTAACGGAGCTTCGGAATTTCACCCTGAACCAGGTTATGCATGTCAGGGTTACTTGGAAGGCCTTCCCCACCAAGCCCCGTATCGGATAAGTGAGAGAACTGTCTGAAGCCACCTGGAGTTGGAGCACGGGTGATTTGGATTCCTAGACTCTATTTGGTGCCAGTGGTTAGATAACATGGAAAACAACTTGCGTGACCAGTTTGATATCTTCGGCCCCGACAGGCCCCAGTGCACCGGGAGATCTCGAGGCTTCCAGAGGAAGAAGGTCCAACTTAAGGAGGCCCTCAACAGGCAGTGGGATGCGCACTCTACCCCTCAGGCCCGCTCTTGGCGTACCTTTCGGTCTACCATCGTGCGCCTTCGAAGTTTCTGGGGCCACCCTGATGACTACCCCCCTGATTTCTGCCAGAACCTCCTGAACATTCTGGGGAAGTTAGACAAAAACGATCTCACCCCCGACCTTACCCTTGGCCTGTGCTGCTTAGATGACCACTTCGCAGTGGCTGCTCGTGGCGGCGACGAGTTTGAATTTTTGTCTGAGCTGGCGGTCGAGGTAGCGGACAAGGTTTTGATCAAAGAAGGAAGGGTTAGGTGGCAGAAGTGGCAGAGGTGGGCGAAGGAAGCTGTAGGAGGAGGAGGAAAAACTGCACGCAGGTTTGCGAGGGATAAGCAGCAGCTGCGACCGCCAGAGGACGCCGCAGGTGTGCCCCTTATAGGTGATTCTGCTGTCGACAGCCTGTGCGACTCCTAGGGCGCGACGTGGCACGATGCCAAGACGCGCCTGACATATGTTCAGAGAGCTGCCGCCCAGAACGCTGCGCCCCCTCAGCCTAGCCTCGACATGTTAGATGCAGCCCTAACACGCTGTCGGCATAATGTCGGCCTTGGTATTGATTGCATCAATCCGAGGTCATGGCTCCTTTTGAGTGACGATTTTCGGAATCGGCTTTTGGATGTCTTGATCCTCTGGGAAGAGAAGCCTTACCTTTCGGATAAATGGCCGACCATGATCGTGTTCACGGGTAAGCCCGAGTCCCCTGACCTCAGACCTCTGGCTCCGATCATCTCCCTCGGGCGTACCTGGGCCCGTCTACGTCAGAGCCTGGCCAGGTCTTGGGAATAATCTCACCAGATATCTGCGTTTTGGGGCTGTTCTACTAAGGAGTGTGACACAGTAGGTTGGGCACATAATATCATGTCACCTTATGCTAAGACAATCGACTTCGACTCAGGCACGCTCTTCACTGACCTTTCGAAATTCTACGAACGTATTTCGCACTACCGGCTATTCGAAGAAGCTGTGGCAGTTGATATCAACCTCAAGCTCATATACGTAGCTTGTAGCTTGTATTCGGGGCCCAGGTGCCTCACGCTCATGGATGCAATCTCGTCGGTGTTTAAAGCTAACGGAACGGTTCTGGCTGGATGCTCCCTGGCTACCTCCCTAGTCAAGGTCCTACTTCACAGGCTCATGGTCTCTATAGCAGATAAGTTCCCAGCTGTGCTAGTCAGGAATGTAGTCGATGATGTACATGCGCAGTGCCTAGGATCGTCTCGCTTTGTCGCTGCACAACTAGGAGGCGCTGGACGCCTTCTTGCCTCTGGGTACAGGCGTTTGGAGCTGGTGTTGGCGGCCAGCAAGACTCACTTCGTTGCCTCCAACCCCGGGTTGGCGGACGCTCTGAATCAGGAGTGGAAGGAATTCGGCTTCGCGAGGAAAAAGCACACGCGATCCCTTGGCACGGATTCCCATGATGCTAAAAGACGAGTGCTTCACACGGCTGGGACTCGGTTTTAAAAAGGTCTTTGGAGGTCCTTCAAAATGTTGAAGTTGAAGCAGGCAGGGGCTAAAATCGGACCCACTCAGCGTGCGGGGCCACAGGCCACGGCCCTATGGGGCTCTGGAGTGTCTGGACTTAGCGGGAGACAACTACACCTGCTTCGTAGAGCTGCGGTTACCAGCCTGCATGTGGATAAAAAGGGCGCCTCGGTTGGCCTCAAGCTGGCCACGACTAAGCTCGGCCGCGTCATGGACCCCTTCTGCATCTACCGCTCCCAGGTCATAGGCTACTGGGCGCGTGCGGTATGGGTAGACAGGCCAGCATTCGGAATTTTGCAGGCTGTTTTGGTTTCGGCAGCTCGAGATTTGGAACGGGCCTCCAACTTGTGGGCCTCGGCGGCTAGCCCTGCACATGTGCATCTGCGGACTGTCCAACAGCTTGGGTGGAGCGCCCCCTCGGCCGACCGCGTCATCATTGACACTGGGGAAGAAATCTGTCTCACCAAGCTTGCTCCCGCGCAGGTTGTTTGGATGGCCCACCGAGCTGCTCGTAATGATTCTGATGTGGCTGCGCTTAGCAATATGGGAGAGTCGCCAGGCTGGACCCGCCCGATGCACTGGAAGCCTTTGGCTGGGCTCTTGGGGGGGCGTCTGTCGGGAACCTGGACGGCTAGGCACCAGTCTAGTTTGCGCTCTTTGATATCTCAGCAACACTGGTGCCAAGCCAAACAAGCGCGCCACGAGAAATCGGACACTGACCTTTGCCAGGCTTGTAAGTGCAAGCCTGGTACCCTCTGGCACAGACGTTTCCTTTGCCCACATTGGGCCGCCGA